CAGACGTGGTTCAGAATGAAGGGGTGTGTGTGTGTCTGTCTCTCTCTGTGTGTCAGATGTGTGTAAGTTTGTAAAACTGAGCAGAATGCTCGATGATGCTCGATGAGCTCAGAGTCGTTCACATTCCCAGACATCACACTCAGTTCAGTGGGTCACACACACATCTGGGTGTGTGGGTGTGTGTGTGTGTGTGTGTGTGGGGAGATGTCATGAACTCTGGGTAAACACAACACACACCCTGCAGCTCTGTGGCAGTTAATTATAAACTCTTTTGTCTTGAGTCTCCACCTGCTGCTACATCTGAACTGCCCGTGTGTGTCTGTGCGTGTGTTACTGCGCACATATGCTTTTGTGCCATTGCGTGTAACGACACAGTTATGCAGTTGCACACGTGTGTAATGGAGCTATCCTTGTGCATGTCTCCAGGCGTGTCTGTCCTGACACGCTCGCAGACCTTTGTTTGCACACGGTAATGTTGGGTAATTACACACCTGTGTGCTTTGTGGTTTGTTTACCTCGGGATCAGTCGACGTGTCGCTGTGGTCAGATGAACTGATCCTCACGCCTCAGATTCCTGTTGTTTCTTGTCGTGGCTGCGACTTGTCGGATCACACGTGACCACGACCGGTCGGTCCTCACTTATTGTTAATACGTGACGCGCAAAATCTGTGAACGCACAAGACGAGAGGTGCAGAAATCTGAATCTTAACAACCAGCAACATCTGGTCGGTGTAGTAGAGGAATCAAAAATAGTTATTAAGTGAAGTCACATCATATAAAGTATAAATGTTGAGTCAAAGTATTTGAAGTTTGAAAGATCTCCAGGTGTGTTCGGTTTTCTCTGAACTTCACAGATGTTCTTATAAACGTGTCTGATAATGAACCTGTCATGAAAACACCCTGAGCTGAACCACGGACTTCAGACGGTGAAACAAATCCCTCATTCTCCCAAAGTGCTGCTGTGGAAACATCTGTTCCGAGCGTCAATAGATCATCACAAATAAACTCCAGACCTTCAAGTGTTCTAACTGAAATAATGAAAAGATCCACTTGAGCAGAGACGATGCTCTTTTTTAAAATGTTTAAATATCTTTTCTGCGTTCAAGTGATTCAACACATGTTTCGAAATATTTCTGAATATCAGCATCAGTTATTGAAAAACCCACATGTGTTGTAAACAGTTTGATTCTTACTGCATGAAATGGATCTGATGTGAACGTCAGTATTTCAGTTGGGACGAGACACGACATCAAAAGCTTCTTGTTTCTTATTTCACGAAACTGAAGAACTAAAATAAAACTTCACTGTCATCTGGAAAAAGAAGCTGAATCAAACCCAGAACTTCCTCAAACCTGGAAAACGAACAAAACACATGAAAGCTAAAAAACATCATTTTCAAATTAATAATGCTAAAGTATGTTGTGCTGTTTTTCAGTGGAGCTGTTTTTCTGTGATAAATGTGATTCTCTAATCGTTTTTATTCTCTGGTGATGAAAAGCAGATGTGGTTTAACTGGTCTGTGTCTCTGAACTGAAACGTCTCCGTGTGCTTGTGTCTGTTTCTTCAGCCAAACTGCACATCAACACTCTGGGCCGCCAGCTGAAGATGAACCAGCACTGTCTGGACACGGCCTTCAATTTCTACCGGATGGCGCTCAACAAACACCTGACCAACGGTCGCAAGTCAGCCCACGTCATCGCCGCCTGTCTCTACCTGGTCTGCCGCACGGAGGGGACGCCTCGTATCCTTCCTGTTCATGAAACCAGGAAATGTTACAGTCGTAGAAAACGACGGATATAAGAGATTCTCTTTGTTTCTTCTTTTTTTTTTTTAAATGAATAAGTTGATAATCTAACGTGGAGGAGGCGGGGTTTATCGCCTGTACTGCAGCCAGCCACTAGAGGACGATTGAGACGCTTTGGCGTCACTTTCGGGGACACGTCATGATCCAAAACAACGTCCATGATTGAACACGGCGTTTCCTGCCCGCGGAGGAAACTCTTCCTGCAGCCGAGCAGAAGCTCAGTGTTCGTTACGAGTTGAAGTTTGCAAGCCTGCGTCTTAAACTGTCGGAGGTCGTCTCGTCAAAATCTGACTCATGTCTTCACGCGTCGTAAAACGGAGCCGATTGAAGTCGGGAGTGACGCGCCCTCGTCGGGATAATGGGCCTTTAAGGTTGATCCTGTTTTCACAGGCAGGGCGGTTGTGTTGTGTTGTCGTCGTGCTCGGTGTGCGGTTGGTTTACCTCTGACTCACTTCGCCTCCGAGGGTTGACGGTTATGTAACAGCGGCACAGGACGGACGGGATAGGTTTGCCTAATGAAAGAGGGACGAGGAGGGTGTAATGCTTCCTGCTGCATTGTTTACAGGGCTCTGTGTGTGTGTGTCAGTACAGGCCTGTCTGTTTGTTCACGTTCGGCGCAGTGAGTCCTGGGTAAAAATAGCTCTGCTCGCTTCCTCTTCCACAGCTGGGGGAGTCCGTAATGTTCTCACAGAGGAGAATCAGGACAAGGACGAAGGTGAGCAGAGAGAAAAGGAAATGTTCATCTAATCTGGACTTTGATTTAAAGGGCCAGACACACGATCTGGATCATACATCCTTTTCCAGAGAACTGAATCCATCTCTTTCTCTCTGACCTTGACCCCCCCCCCCCCCCCCCTTCTCTCTGCTTCCTGTCTCTGTTTGTCCAAATCAGAACAAAACGCTGTCAAAAAAAAAACTTCAGTTAGAGTCGATCTTCTGGGTAACGACACGTCTTTGTCGCCCTCGTAGGAGAAAGACTGGAGGCTCTTCCTCAGGGTGGAAAAGATCAAATATCTGACTAATCTGGGATCTTATTTTGAAATGTTAAAAACCTTCCCCTTAATCTGACGCTCGCATGTTGTCCATTTAGTCACATGACTTAAATAAGATTCGTTCACGCCTCTTCTCAATGATCTGCGAACAAAAAGCCGTGATTCGACTCCCTGATCTGTGCAGGCGTGTTTCCACGGTTTCATTTTTATTTGTTGCCCGATACGTTTCAGAAGCTCTCTGCCTTCACCTGTTGAGTCCAGTGGATTTCCTTCTGTGTTTCTTTGGCATCTAAATTCAGAACCGTGGATCTGGCTCCACGTTTTCTACCAGATGTTAGACACCGGCTGCAGGAGCATCAGTCAGTTAGTCATGTGAAGGTCATTAAGGTCTGACTCGCAGTCGATGTTCTGGTTCATCTCAAAACTGAGAAAACCACTGAAGCGTGTTGTTGCACCTGGATTTGTGCAACTGGAAGATGAATGAATGACAAATGGCAAAGAAAAGGTTGGAAGCACATGAGTGGAAACGATCCCTGCATGTGGATTCATCTTCAAACCATGAGAAACATCCTCAGACTGAAACCTGTGACTCCATCTCTTCTGGTGTTCAAGTGAGTCGTCTTGTGTTGCACCAACAACACGTGGTCGTTGTTTCGCTCCTCCCAGATGTGTCTGAGGACCTGCTGTCGTCTGTTTTCCTGATTTTGAGGCGGTCGTCTCTAATCTCCAGACGGCGTGCGCCGGGATTATCTTTTCCATTTCATCTGCGCTGCTTGCTAATTCCATTGTGAGGCCTTTTCAGAGGAGCCCCGCTAATCCGCCCGGACAGCCAGCCTGCAGGCCGGTGCACCTGTCGCCACGGAGACCCCGTCACCAGGGAAACCGGCGTGTCCAGGCGGAGCCGGCTGGGTGGGAAGTCCGGAGGCTGATGAGGCAGAATGTTTAGAAGAGTCGTGTGGTCAGAGGTGACGGTTCAGTGTTTGCTGTCCTGAGTTACCGTCACAGCTGCCGGAGCACGCCACGAGTCACGAGTTTTATTTCACCAGAAGTTCATTTTTACTGCGCTGGTCGTTGGAGTGAAGTGTGACGAGGCTGAAACGTGTCCTCAAACCTCCGAATCAGGACAAATGATCCTTTAACTGTGATTCTTTCATTTCAGTTTCCTTAACCTGTCGTTCTCAGACATGCTGCTGGATCTCAGTGACCTCCTGCAGGTACGTGTCATCGTCGGTTCATTAAACCGCAGCAGATTGTCCGACTCGTTCACAACACAGCACCTCCCCCGCTAAAGTTTCACAGTTACACACATTAACAACTGAGACGTGTCATTTTGTCCCAGATTCATTTGTTAACTGTTCAAATTAAGCAAATGTGGCGCAAACTTGTCTGGAAGCATCTTAATCAACCTCTGAATCTTCTGCGTCAGACGAACTGGTGTCAATTCTCAATTCTCTTAATTCATTATTGCAACTAAAGCGTCTAAACTTCGAAACTAGCAACAAACTCCTTCAGATTTATTTTTATTCCTCACTTTGATGTGTGTTGATGCTCACTGTGCTGCAACAGCCACTTAAAGACCCGCTCCCACCTCTCACCACCACTCCCATAATGCATCTCTGCCTAAACCACTTGCCCCTGCAGTCCTCTGGCTTTCAGACCCATGTAATTAAACCTGAGTCGTGTGTGTGTGTGTGTGTGTGTGTGTGTGTGTGTGTGTGTGTGTGCGTGTGCGTGTGCGTGTGCGTGCACACATGTATAAATTTAGAAACCCCTCCACTTGTCTGCATGTTTAATTCACGGTGAGTCAGGGGTGTGGTGGGACATTTCTCGGAGTCACAGCTGGTCAGGGGCTTTTATTTTTATGCACCCAGCTGTCGTGGAGGAGCCGGCAGCCCCTCCCCCCACCATCCACACCCCGGCATGTGGAGGCTGGGTGAGGATTTAAAGTGGATTTGGGGTGTGTGTGTGTGTGTGGGGGGTGGCGGATTGGCCGGGTTATTAATGCCTCACATTCACGCTGCTGCGGTTGTGGCTCGGTGATATTCCACCAATCACTTTTTTTTTTTTTTTTATGGCTCCACACCCAGAGCTTCCTCTCTCGTTCGGATGAATGAGGATCTTGGTCCGTCACACTGTGTTTTCATTAAGCTGCTGAAGTGGAGCGAGGGCGACACTGATCAGAGCTGCATCAATGCTGATTTAAATATCAGCTGATTTCGATGTGAACCACGTCTGATGTGACGGACGTTCAGCACATTTATTTCATCACTAAAGCTCATTTTCCTCTGATCAGAAAGAGTTTTGTCTCCAGTGTGAATGGAGATAATCAGAATTCTCTCCCAGGTCAAATTACTTCTACAGGTTTTTATTGTTCCGGCTCCGATCGGCAGAGGCGGAAATGAGCCACTCGGGTGAACATGCTAATTCGGTGCGTTAGTTAAACATGAAGCACTCTGGGAAAAATAGAAAGGCAAGAGTCAATCATCTGTCTTTAACGGGTTCATCCACGTTGAACTGTTAAGTCTGTATTTAGGACCAGTTTGTTTTGAGTCTGAATAAATATTTAAACTGAAGATTTGAGTTCAGGACTGAAACTGAAGTTAATTGAACTATTGGGGAAAACGGTTCGCCCGCTGTGCTCTGATCTATCCATCACATGACCAGAGCTTCCACTGCTCAGTCCAACGCACCAAACTGGTGGCTATTACCCATGATCCTCTGCTTCCTGAGCCAGAACGAATAACAAATTCACCAAACTCTGGTGAGAATTCTTCACAGTTTAAAAGTTTCCTGCTGAATATTGGAGATAAACTCTGGTTTTTAATAACTTCTAAGTCTCTTGAACTGAAACATGCAGAGTGGAAACGAAAGAGGAAACGTTCTCCCTGTTACGAGTCCGTCAACGTGATCGTGAAGCTCAAAGAAGAATTCAAAGAATTCTCTCCACCATTAGTCTTTGATTGTGTGTGAACCTGTTGACATCAGACGTGTGGTTGTAGCTTCAGTAGAAAGTTCATTTAATCTGAGCCGCCCTCGGTCTTATTATCGTCTCATCAGGAACTCTGTAAATTCAAAGCTTTCCTCGTCCACCTGTTGAGACTCGACCGTGAAGGATCAGGTATCGACTCAGATTTCCAGTTGACCCTCGACCTGGAAAGTTTCACTTAGCGCTGCGGAGGAGAAGGAAATATCTTCTCTCCCTTTCATCTCAGCGGCGGTTCAAATAGATGGGCTTGATTTTAATTTGAAGACGTGAGCTCAGTGTTTCACTCACTCAGATTCAAAACCTGCTGAAACCTGCTTTAAATAGTTTGTTTGCATCATATTAGAAATGATCTCCCTCGTTTCATTTCTACTTGAGCAGCCGTTTAACTTTGAAACATGACGGTGGCTCCACTTCCTCCTCCTCCACTCTTCCTGAATCCTCGTCCCAGAATAGCAGAGGAGCATCTGCGTCCCTGTTGGACTCCAGAGGGGGCTGAGAGCGAGAGTCCGTCTGTCTGCTCTGAACCCCCCCCCCCTCACCCGCAGCCCCCTGGAGGTCTGGAGCATCGGTCTGAAGGAATGACTGAGATCTGACCTGAGTTCACGACCCGATCCTGCAGCTTTCGCTGCCGTCTGCTTCAGATTTCAGCCCGGAGCCCACAGAAGCTTCCTCCCGGGCCGTGTTGCTGTTAATTTGTGGAGATGATATATGTGCGGCCCTGTGGCTTTGTTATTCAGCGGAGTTCGTCATCAGGTCCTTTCACAGAGGGCGGGGGTGGACCAGGGGATGACAGCATTTACTGCCGAGCCTTCTGGAGGTGCTGTGTGTAGAAGACAATGAAACATCTGTGATGGGAGTTTCCAGAGTGATAACCCCGCTGACACGTTGGTGCTCATCCTCCGTCTACCCACAATGACCCGCTGGCTCCGTGTTCCAGCTCAGCCGGGTTCAACCGCTCATTAGATTCTTTTCCAGGAAATCAGTGAACTAGTTTGAGTGATTTTGTCAAAGTTATCTGGACCACCACCTTAATATTCCAAGTTACGCAGCTGAGAAACTAAATGTCACAGAAAATCTTTTTTTCTTCCTGCTCTGTAACGTTGTTTTAGTTGAAACCTTTTCTAACAGACGTTCTCGTTCACGTCGCCTCAGTCGAACTCTGCAGCTTCGACAGTTCGTCCAAAACGCTGCTGCAAAGACTTTTACTAGAACCCAAAATATTTGTACCCAAAACATTGATTCTGTCCTCGCTCCACTGTTTCATCCACATTAAACTACAGAGAGTTTCTTGTTACCAGCAAAACAAACAACTCCTCAGATCGTCACATCTTGTCCTTAGCGGTGGGACGGGGAAGACGCAGGAGAAGAGTTCGCGGTGCAGGCGACTGAGCGACAGATATTTTTATTAGAATTTAATCGACAGAGCTGCGACACCTGAAAACAAAAATCTCTTCAGTCGGCACCAGAGATCTTTTGATCGCTGATATCACATCAGTCTTCAGGTCGATCATGTCGCCTGAACACTTAACCTGACACAAGTGTTTCCGATCCTGATGGTGTTTTGGTCTCTAACACGATTCATCCTCCATCATGTCCCTCCTGTTAAAACTGAGGCTCTGTAGTTCTGTTGGTGGCTTTGAGAGTTTGATGACATCTAACTCACGTGAATCCTCTAAAGCGTCCGAACCCAGTAAGAAAATGAGACTGAACTGATGCACAAGGACACGAGTTTTACTCTGGAGGGTTTAAACATCTCATCTCTCTGTTTTAACCTCCGCCAAGGACGCCATGCTGCCGTCTTGTTTGTGTTTTTACAGGCTTACGCACAAATCACTCGACCAGTTCCCCTCAAAGTTTGTGGAGGGATGAGACGTAACCTACGGATGAATCCATGAACTTTACATGCAGATCCCAGAAATGATTTTAGATATTTAATCTGATAATTCTCATATCATTGAATGTGGTTTCATAGCGGTAGTTTCATTCTAGTGTCTTTAATGGTGTTATTTCTCCACAGGTGAACGTCTACGTGTTGGGAAAAACCTTCCTCGTCCTGGCCAGAGAGCTGTGCATCAACGCCCCGGCTATAGGTACCGACCTCTACTCGAATAATTATCTGTTGATGATGAATCAGCAACTTTTGGTTGTTATTTGTTGATGTAAATATGTGTAACTACAGGTTAATCTAATTATCGATTATATGACAATTATTTCTGTGTCTATATGTCACCGACAAAGTGAGTCTCCCAATGTCCCAGACTCAAAGAGAAATATTCAAACGTCTCTTTTTCTGTGACCAACAGTCCCAAACCCAAATATATTAAATTTACAACAAACTAAAACAGAATAAAGCAGAACTTTGCTAAACTAGAACCAGCTCGAACAATTGATCAGTTATTTAAATGGCTTCTGAACGAATTTGAGCTTCTCAGCAGAGGAAAACTCAGACTAAGATATTTGTCACGATCCACTTTGTCACAGCGGCTTTAAGAGTCAGATCTTAGTGTCACAGTCATGTCACCAAACTTAGAAATGATTCCAGTGAGAAATGAACACTGGTGTTGGATCAGGTTGAGTTCACGTCCTGGGAAAGAAAGAAAATATTATTTTTTTTTACATCATAATCCTGTGAAATTGTTAGATTTGTAGTTTTTAAACTGTGTTCCAGAGAAAAGATAAATGTTTAAAATTAGAAAACTCACATACCGATTCCTCTTTCTCTTGAATTGTATAAGACTTCACCCCAGAAGAACTAAATCAAGCCCCTGATCATTTCCATGGAACCCAGTGTTTGTCCTATTTTTATTCTTCAAGTATGGGAAGACAAGTTCATGTTTTCATAAACCCACAGTGTAGTTCCCTCTGACGTAACCAGAGGGCGCTGCTGCCCCTCTAATCCCCCCCACCCACCCACCCACCCAGGCACCATAACAAGATGAGGTCTGTGGCTTCAATCACATTATAATACCTTTATGTTTCATCATCAGGTGTATAGGCATTCTTGTACAGAACACATCTGGTCTCAAACAGCATCAAGCCGTTGTCATATTTTTTTACAAAAGACACAACGTTTCCGAGGCCGTTTCTCTGAAGTGCAAAACAACTCCACAAGATTTCTACCTTTTTTTTTTTTTTTCTTCCTCTCTCTGCGTTTAGAATCATAACACGACATAAAGTCCGCTCCTGGTCGTGATGTTGCCGCCTGGACCGTAGCAACAACATCGTAGAAGGACTCGCGATTTACACACTGTGAAGCAGTCACTCGTTGTTCCGCTTGCTGAGCTCAGCTTGATTACATAACCACAAATCACTGTGTTAATGTTTTTTCTCTACAGCAGCCGCAGCCCTTTAACACACACGCACCCGAGCAAATAACGTTAACCAAGTATTTAAATAAAAAAAAAAAACATTAAATTAAATAAGATGAAACGACAGCTCCTTCGCTCCTTTTTAAAACAGTCTCTTGGAGAAGTAACCAGGCCGAAGTGTGACATTACTCAAGTGTCTTTACTGCTACATTACTTTAAAGGCTGGGAGGCGAGTTCCCATCAGCAGTCCAGAGCAGCTTATGCGTAGAACACCAGCTCGGGGATCTGTCCTCCCTGTACTCCAGTCCCGTTGGTGCTGTCGGAGGAACACTGGAACTGAAAGGTCACCTTCCCGCACTGCACCTCCGTCATGCCCTCCTGGCCGAAGTAGCTGAGTTCGTTCCCGTCCAGCACGGCGCTCACTGTGTAGAACGCGTCCTGCTCCACCTGAACAGGATGTTCGAACCACACAGGGAACGTACTGCTCGACCCGTCCGACACGTACTTGGTCAGGTTCTGGGCCAGGACCACCCCCTGTCTCTTGAGTTCAATTTTGACAGTGTACTCTGCTTTGCCGCCGCTCGACCCATACAGTCCCAAACCAGCGATAAAAATCCGCTTGTCCACAGCAAACTGAATGCTGTCGCACCGGCCGCGGTAGCGCCACTGATTGCTCCGGTAGGCCGAGGACTGGAAGCGATGGCACCTCTGAGGCGCCAGACCCGCCCTCGCAGTCAGAGGAAAGTCCAGCTGAGGCTTTTTAGCTGCAGTGTACCACAGGAACACATTGTGCATCTCCTCCAGTGTCAGGATGTCAGATTGCGCCGCCCCGTTAGCGAACTCCTCCAGGCTCATCGTGGGGATGCGCACCAGAAACAGCGCCTTGCCAAGGACCTCTCTTCTGTTGTGAGTGGTCGGCCCCAAACCTTGTCTCTTGCACTCCGCTGTGGCCCAGTTCATAACGGCCTCAAACACCACCACCTCCTTGGTGTTCAGGGTCTCCCTCCGCAGTATGATCTCCAGCGTCTGCAGGTCGATCTCGCAGAAGCCCTCGGAGCACAGAGCGAGCTCGGCCTGAGCGTCGATCACCTCCCAGCATCGCTGCGTCAGCTCGGGCTCCTCGAACAGGCGGCTCTGAGACAGCAGCACGCAGGCATTCTTGGCCTCCAGGCTCGTCTCCAGAAAGGTGACGCAGGCCTTGGCCAGTGCAGGGACAATGTACTTCTTGGCAGCGTACAGGGTGGCCAGCACCGTGTCTGCCTCCAGGTCAATCTCATCACTGTACATGTACCTGGAAGAAGAAAAACACCTTTAAACATGCAGAAATCTGAAGGAGCAGTCTTTCATAATATTCTCCTTAATGCGACATGATGCACAGTGTTCCTCCTTCTTCCCAATCTCATTTCCACTGGACTCCACAAGTGCACACACAAAAAAAAACCTAAATGGAAATAATGATCTCCTCTTTCTTCTTCCAACCCCTTTTTTTCAAAAGACATAACGGGCAACAGACCCCGGTGCTGGCTTGGCCAATGCTACGAAATGAGAAACAAAGGCAGGTTATTTATAACCACTAGTCTCCATATATTCCCCCCATAAGAAAAATATCAGGCTGTGGATGAGGAGAAGGGGAAAAAAAATGTTTCAAGTTGAACAAAGAGTGCTGAGAAAACCAGCAATTACAGAGCACCATGCTGCTGCCGCTGCTCTCTGGCGCTCGCAGCACTCTGGCGCTCGCCTCTGCCTCGCTTTGGATGAGTAATAATATGCTTTGAAGTGACACTGACTGCGCTTGTCATCTCTCCTCCTGCTTGGCTGTGTGAGGGATGGTGAGTGGCTTACTTCAGCAGAATTAGAAAAGAAGCAGGTTCCACATCTGGGATATGGATCTCAGGGTCCTCCTCCGCCAGATCGCCGTAAAACATGGCACAGAAGACGGAGCTTCCCACGGCCAGCACGTACTGAGAGGGAGGGAGGGAGGGAGGAGCGGACAGATGCGTCAGACACATGCAACCAGAATTGCGGAGTTCAGTAAAGGAGCAGGCTGTGAGTGGTGCAGGAGTGTAAACAACTTCACTACTAATGCGAAGGACGTTTGATTTCCACAGACAGACTGTGAACACCGCTCGGCTTTACATTTTCTTTCAAGGGCAAATCAAAAACAGTTTTTCTCGGGAGGTTAGATGTCTTTACCTTGTGAGCTGGAACCCTCTGCGAGTCCCCCAGGGGGCCGACGATGAAGTGGACATCAGCCATCAGCTCATTGTTAAACATCAAGGCATTCCTGAGAGCAGAGAAGGGTTCATGAATAAGCCTCCAGTATTGTATAACACCAAGTCCCTCCACAGTCTCTCTGCCTGGAGACACTGGTTATTTTCATAGGTTTGTGGAGGATTACAGCTACGATAGCTGGGCTGAGGCCGAATCTGAGAAAACCTCTTTGTTATTGGAGCGTTCGAGTTCCCGGAGCAAACAGTTGACTGTCATAAAAGACAGAGGAAAAGCAGATTTTGATCATCTTATCGTTTTTAAGAGCTTCTTAATGTTGCAGCTCAGAAAGACGTGTGATATTCTACAAACCAAGACAATCCTTTATTACCAAGGAGGAAAAGAGGGAAGTGAAAAAATCTGTAGAAGTAAATATATAAATGTAAGGGAACAGACAATATTTAGATTGGAGAGGATGAGTCCTGCTCTTTACAAAAGCTTCTTAACGACATGCAACCTCTGTGCTGTTCTGCAAACTTTAAAAACTGAAGCTTAGGAACTCGATGCTGCAGGAACAGACTTTTCCTTCCAGAATAAAACCCCGAGTGTGTTGACGGAGGAGAGGGCCGTGACCTCCCTGCACTTTACGGTGCTTTTTAATCTGCACCTCCGGCTGCTGCCGTGTTACTCCTGCAGTGACCTGTCATTACCTGAGAACGACCTTTCATTTGCTTTGTGGTGGGCTCCTCTCTGGAGGAGGTGGTGTGTGGGGGGTGTTTGTGTTTGCAGTGTGGTGCAGGAGGGTGCAGGAGGCTGGAGTGTGGCGGGGGTACCTCTCTCTCAGTGTGGGGTGGCTGCTCTGCCAGCTGGGGGGCTCCAGGTTGTTGTTGTTGATGTTCTGCTGGGTGGTCGGGGTGGTGGCCGCGCTGCCGCCGCCGCCGCTGCTGCCGCCGGCCTGGCTCACCTGCGCCGCCTTGCTCTTGTCGGTGTCCGCCACCGTGGTGCCGTTGGCCAGGTTGGTGTTGCCGGACGCGGGGTAGAGCTCCGCGGCCATCTTCCTCTGCCTCTTGTCCTTCTTGCTGCCCAGGGACAGGCTCAGGATCTCATAGTACAGCGGCAGCCTGCCCGGGAGCCCGCCGACCTGCTTGGACTTTTTCAGCGTTTCGGGGAGTAGCAGCAGATACGTCCAACACCTCATGATCCGGCCATGATGGAGCAGCCTGCAGTCCGCCGTGGGCATCGGCACCAGCCCGCCGAGCCTCCCCCGCGCGTCCGCGTCCGACGAACCGAGCCGCCGCCGGGGTGCGGACGAGCTCGCTGTGCGGGAGGAGAGAGGGGGGGAAGCTCAGCCTCTTCTGCCCGGAAAACCCGCCTTCGAAACGGCGTCGACTGCGAAGTTTTCCCACGATAACATCCACGAAAAAAATAAAACAACCGTCCAGGCCCGGTGGTGTCCGCTTTCCCTCCCCGCGGTTACAACTTCGACCGCGGACACTCTTCGCTCCGTTCCCCGGCGGTCACCGCATCTCCTCCGCTCGGACTCACCGGAGCGTCGCTTGTTTTCCCTTTTCGCTGAGCGGATAATCCGAGTCCTCCCCGCCCGCCTCCGAGCCCCTCGATCCCCGCACACTGATTCACACGAAGCCCGCGGAGGAGGAGGAGGAGGAGGTGTCCCGGAGCAGAGGAGGTGTCCCGGAGCGGAGGATCGGTCCCGGAGCGTCTCTCCCTCGGACCGGATCCGTCATGTGTCCGGACTTTCGGCGGATTTCGGTTTTTTTAATTCGCCGTGATCTCGTCGGACGCCCGGAGCTCACCGAGGACCAATCAGATCCACGCACGGCCCCGACGTCATCAGGACCGCAGCACCTCCCTCCGCAGCTCCGCAGAGTGCGTCACCGCCCTGACGCTCCTCCTCCTCCTCCGCCTCCGCCGCCTCCTCCGCCCCGTTCACTAGATCCTGTGGAGAAATAAAGATGAAGTTAGAAAAGAAAAGAGAAGATGGAGGGAACAGACCAGATCTGAGCTTCTTATCTCATGAGGACATTTCAAACATTCAGTGTTTTGAGTATGTGTAAAACAAATCCCCTCCTTTGACACAGTAACAACAACAATACTTTTTATTTAGAGACGCCGTTCACAACGCTCAAGGTCACCTTACAAGACATGCACTTAACGATACTGCAGTTTAAACAAAAAAGTAAGGTAACGTAATGCAGTATTGTTAACACTACTTGAGTACATCACGTCACTGTCAAATGAAACCCAGAGGGAGTCTTGTAGCCTAATTTAATATCTTAAACGCAGTATTATTAAGTGTACTACTTTACGATTACTTAGTTACATTTCACCTCACATTACTTACAAATTAAAATACAGTTGAATCAAAGCTTTTTACCTTTTCTCAAAATTAAACTGCTCAGAAATAAATACACTAGAGTACATTTACCTTGTTATATTACACGTTACATTACTGTCAATTCAAAGACACTTCGTTTAGCTAGTTACCTTCCACATTACACAATTATGTACACTATAATGTACATATATAAACACACTTATGCATATAATGCTTTGTAGAAACTTTGACTCGGGGGGGGCTTAGTTTGAAGTTTTTAAAGTAGTTTAGAAGAACAGATCGTCACTGTTTGGTGCATCAGGAGCGTTAATACTGAAAGATGTCTCACCAGACTCAGAAAGAGCTTCAGGCTCATGGAGATTTCCACTGTGACCTGAGAGATCTGCTGGGACGCTGGGCTTGACAGCACGTCCGATAAGTTCTGCGGAGCTGGACCATGAAGTGCTTCGTAGACCAGGGGGAGAATTTTAAACTGTGTTCTGGAAACAGCCGGCAGCCAGCGGAGGAGCCGGAGAACCAGAGTCACACTGTCTGATGTTTTTGTGCCGGTTTGATTTGGTGCGGTTGAGTTTTGGATGAGATGTAATCAAGGGATTGTTTTATTTGGACGACCCGTTGACAGAGACTTGCAGTCGTCCAGTCTGCACATGACAAATACACGCATGAGCGTCTCTGAGTCAAGAAAACCTCTGATTCTCAAAATATCATGAAAGGACAACACGTGTTTGACAGCGAGATATTTACTGATCTGTATTTTAAGACACATTTCCACAAGTATACAGTAAATCACCTGTAAATAAAGATGGACGACACTTCTCCCCTGATACAAACGCTGACATCTGCGCAGGAAAAATCAATACGTCAATACGTTTTTGTGGGAAACCTGAAAACATCTGTTGTGTTTGGCCGGTAGCAGCCGTTTGTTGATTCATCTTAGTCGTTCCTGTGCATAACTAACAACGTGACGACAGATCCAAGAATCGGAAAATGCACCAGTGGAGTTTTTTTATGTTCGAAAATCCACCAGGATTTGATGAGAACCGTGTTCTCCAGAGACATTTTTACGTTCCACGATAATACAGAGAGAGAAAAACTCAGAAACCCGGCGACCGATTCCTTCACCAGCGGTAACAGAAAATAGACCAGAATGCATTGTGGCCCACAGACAGTTCTGGGTTTTGAGGGAACAGCTTCCTCGCAGCTCTAATGCTACACATGCAGCTCCGCTCTCACGTTTGATTGATAGGAGCTCGTTCACGGCCCGTCTCCCGGGGTGGTCCAAGTAATTTTGGGGAACGGGAGCAGGCAGGAGTCGAGGCAGGCTGAGGTACGGCGGGTGCATGAAAGAGGTAACCTGCAGCTCTCCATCACAGAGCGACTCCCGGGCTGTTTGAGCATCGCAGATTGATTTTATTCAACTGAAGCAGGATTTAAGGTGGATTTATTTCCCTTAAACAGCCTCTTATTTCTTTTCTATAGAGATCCTGGCGCTCACAGACACTCCAGTAAAACTCTGAGCAGCGATGGCCAGCTCTGCAGACGTATCATTACATGGCTCGGAGGGGGGAAGGGATCGGCCTGGATCTTATTACCAGCTGGCTCTACCAGCTTTCCACTGGACTGCTCTTTACTAACTTCTAGGATATTTGACTCCACCGTCACCGCCGAGCACAAAACTCTCTAAACCTTTTGTCTCCCAGTTGTAGCGGAACAAAGATTCCAGTTAATTTCACTGTTTAATTAGATTCCTGCACATGTTGAAATCATTTATAGGATTAAAGAACAGAGACTGGACACCTGCCACACTGGTTCATGACAAAAACAGGTGGTTCTGTTGTTTTTCTCCTCATCTGCATCTTAAGCGTTTTCCATAAAGTTTACGATTCGAGTTTCTCGGAGACATTCGAGGAGCAAAAAAAAAAAAGCTTGAGACGGGAGCGTGTGATTCGACGGTCGCCCGCTCGTATCCTCTTGCCAGCTGAGAAAATCTGGACAGAGACAGTGAATGAGAAACAGGCTGTTCGCTCTGCGGTGCACTTTGTGGAGCTAAATGCTAATCCTCTGGTTCTCTGGTGGAGCTGAGCAGCAGGAGCCTGGTTTTACAGGGGAACTCACTGGTGCTGGTAAATTAACACCTGTGTGTATTTTTCTTTAATCTGAATCAGAAAGAAACGAATCACCGGACTTTGCTTCGGGTTTGTTTACTCCTGAAAACTGAGGTGAACCAGGGCTCGTGAATTAAAGTCACGTGGACTCGTAAGCAGTGAATTGGTCAAAGGTTTGGCCTCAGCAGTGTCGTCCTGTGGCAGCAGAACAGATATTAGTCGCCGACATTAACATGATGTCTCCACTCAAAGTCCTGTCAGATGTTTGCTCTGGTACCTTTCACCTACTGACACTCATTCTTGCACATAGACTGTAAATCAAGACGACGCTTCTCCACTTCCTTCAGAAGTGAAGCCGAAAGGCCTCATATGGAATCTGCCATGTCGAGTTCTTTCCTGGTCCACGGCCAAACCTTCCAAATTTGATTGAGATGCTGATTTCTGAAGACACAGCTAAACATTTAAAGTTTGACATCTTACGAACAGGCCCTTAAATCTTCCTTCTGTTTCCTGTCTCCATCAGACCCGTGCCTCTACATCCCACGTTTTGCCCAGCTGCTGGAGTTTGGCGAAAAGAACCACGACGTCGCCATGACGGCGTTGAGACTAGTGCAGAGGATGAAGAGGGACTGGATGCACACGGGACGAAGGCCGTCGGGACTCTGCGGAGCAGGTAACCACGTGAAGGGTATTTGATTGATGCGGTGGTGTTAGCTGCAGCCTGGAGGCTCGGAGTTGTAGGTCCCTCATCAGAAGATTCCTGGTTCCAGTCGTCAAACTGACCTTGTGTGTCGGAGCGAGAGAGAGAGGCCTGATGGTCCAAAGCCTCTGATGGAGGTTTTATCAGCCGAGTAGAGGGAGTCGAGAGAGTCCAGCCTCCAAATTCAGGTTTAGATGATGGTGATATTTTAATTTTGTTCATACTGAGCTCAGAGTTCTTCTCTCTGCCGGTGTCGACCTGAAAACACTCGAGGTCGAAGCATTACCAGCGCCGACGTCCTGAAACCGAAGCGCCGGCTTCCTCTGCTCGCCGCATGTTTACACTCACGGTTTCAGTTTTCCATTTTCTCTGTTCCTCTGCTGCATTGCCTGAATAATTAATTTCTTATCATAAATCATTGAGGAGGATACACTCAGCTGGAAGAAGGAGAAGTTTGTTCCCAAAACCGATATAAATATCGCTGGTGAAGCACGAGAAACATGCGTCTGCAAAAAGTTCTCTCCGGCGGAACCAGAATCACTGATCGCTGATTTACTTTGTGACTTCAAGGACAAACAGGTCGCGAATGTGAGGCGACAAAGTCGACTCTACATTCGGAACACGAGAACCAGCAGTGTTGGAGTTACGTGGTTTCATCCTAATGGTGCTGAAATGTTTGAGGAAGTCCTCAGCGGAGCTAAAAGCCGCCACTTCGGCCCTGAAGGCTGTTAGATGTGTGCATGTAGAAGTAGAAGCATCTATCTTTAAACAGGCTCTTGAGTGAAGCAACACTAATGACGGTTATATAACTGTTCTTCTTCAAGGCTCGCACTGTAATTCATTGCATAATATTAACAATGTTGTTGGTCCTTTTTTAAAACTGTGTGCGTGTGTGCGTGTCGTTACACCTTCATGTGGGTATTAATATATAATTAAATATACATTCATCCCAGAAATATCTGTGTATCTCTTGTATCTGGAGAATTGTTCGTGTTTTCTGCTTCACACTTGTCGTGTGTGATGTTAAAGAACAGAGGAGGTGCAGTGTCGAATGATCTGGACACGTGATACTTTCAATATTAATAAACTTAGAAGAAGCAGGCGACCTGCGGAGGCTGGGACTCATCGGCGTCAACGAACGGCTGATTCTCCGGTTCAGGTTCAGGAGCTTCGCTGAACTTTGTGTAAACAGGTGAACAGATCTGTGCAGCAGCAGCTCTTCGTTTACTGCAGCTCACTTTTACAGTTTCAGGAAGAAAACTACAACCAGCGTCCCCACAGGTCCGTCTTTATATAAAGGGGGGTTTCTGTGTACTTATATAAATTGAGCTCCAGGTTCAGATCAGTGCATAAAGTCCACACAGACATGATTAGAACACCGCAGGTGTGTCTGACTGTTGTTATTATTCTTCTTTCTGTTTCCAGCTCTTCTCGTCGCCGCTCGCATGCACGACTTCTGCCGCACAGTGAAAGAAATTGTCAGCGTTGTGAAAGTGTGTGAAAGCACGTTAAGAAAAAGGTGAGTGGGGAAAAAAGCAAGAATATTCTGCCCACGTCCTGACGATAGACGCTTCGTTACATATGATTTAAATGAAGGTACAAACAGTTAAAGGTTAGTTCAGAACTTTCCTTCATTATCAGCTTTGTCAATTTGTTTTAATAATATGATGATAAACTTTATTTCTGAAGCACTTTGAAGAACAATGTACCCACATCAAGTGAATAACAGGAATCAGAGAGAACATGTAAAAGCTGTCGCAACCTTCTGAAGATAAACAATTTATTAAAAATGACTTTTAATGCAGTTAATGCAACCAAACAGATCGACCTCCGACTCATCAGCATCTCGATTTTGTCTGAATGTTCCGTGTCGTTCTCCTGCATCAGACTGACGGAGTTTGAGAACACGCCCACCAGCGAGCTGACCATCGAGGAGTTCATGCGGGTGGATCTGGACCAGGAGTGCGACCCGCCCTGCTACACGGCGGGACTGAAGAAGAAGAAGATCCAGCAGGTACGGACGAGGACGTTAATTTAATTAACAGGTTGTTTAAACGTTCACCTTGAACTCAGGCTGTAGATTTTTAAACCTGTTTATTACAAACGTTCTTGGACATTTTCCGTAAAAACCTTTTCAATCAAATATTTAAGACCAGAAAAATGATTTTAAATAATAAATAGGGAATAAATGATCAGTTTGAATCCTGCAGGTGTTAAATCTGATGCACTGATTTGCATCTATGTTGATTTTG